TTTTGAATGTTTTTGATCTCATTTGACTTGTTGGAAGTCAAATTCCTTCCTCTTAGGGTAAAATGACCATTTTACCCTTGGTTCTTCCTTCGGTAGGGTTTTCATACCCATGTCTTTGTTTTGCTTCCACACTTTGTTCCTTCAGGTTCCGTGACCTCATGGAAGGTTATCAAAGGGTCTTAGAGGTGTGTTATGCCTTGGGAGATCATTGTCCTGTTTCTTGCTATCGCATCTGGATCCGTTAACGGGTCAATCTTCGGTTCATCACTGTAGTACCGGGTTGATTAAAAACCCAGGTCGTTACAAAATTAAACTTCATACAAGAAAATAATTAAATAAAGTTCACCACACTCATTCAAATATTCTCATTTTCATATATGTTAATGAACATATTAAGACCTAATTTAATATCACATTGTAAGTTCATTCCAAGCTAGGTACAACCATGTGAATTAAATTTTATACAAAGAAAATAATTAAATAAAAGTCTCAAAACCTATTCAATTATTCTCAAATTAATGTCTATGATAGAACATGCCAAGCTCATCAATAATATCAAGTTAAAAATCCAAGTAAGTGAGTAGAGCACTTAAAATAAAATTAATTAATTTTCTCTAGATTTTAAAATAATTCCGAATATTCTCAAATTCACATATGTTAAAGAACATACTAAGGCCTAATTTAATATCACATTACAAGTTGATTTCGTGCTAGCTACACCCATGTGAATTAAATTTTCATACAAGTGAAAGATTAAATAAAAGTTGCAATACTAATTCAAATCCTCCCAATTTAATATATGTTAATGAACATATCAAGACTTAATTTAATAGCATGCTACAATTTAATTCCAAACTATGTACAACCATGAGAATTAAATTTTCTACAAATAAAATAATTAAATTAAATTCTAGATAAAATACCTAGGCATGCATGCAAGTTGTATAAGCTTATAAAACAACCAATACAACAATTATGTAAACCTAAGACATCCCCTACCTCACTTTGACATGAAATCTCAAATCCCCACTGGAAGGAAATCGCTCCAAATCCGACGATACTTCTAGGTTATGTCGGGGACTACGAGAGAAACAACTTTAACCCTTGAGGCACCATGAAAATCCATACCTAAACTCAAAAATGGTCAGAATCGGCTTCTAATAAGGGGGAAATGAGCGCCTTGCCAAGGCCTATGATAAACACTAAGGTACTACGGCATTTTACAAAGGGGAAGAATGTTAATTTGAGAGAAGAAGGGTGACAGCCCCCTTGGGCTGCCATGGCTGATTTGCAGTAGTGTGAGAAGAAGAAGATGAAATGATTTTAATTTTATAACCCTTTATTTATAGTAAAACCCTAAAAGTGCCCCGAAAGAGCCCCGCTGGGTCCGGAAAAGTGGAATTTGCGCAGACGTACTCAAACGGTAAAAAACCGTGAACAAAAAAGAACCGAAATGAAAAAAAATAAACAACGAAAGAAACAGCGTCAAAAACAAAGTCCCATGCAGAAAGATATGCCTCGAACAAGTTCGAAGGCAACTAGGGCTAAAACTGAAAAATTAAAAAAAAAAATGACCATGAGAAAATTCTAAGAGTACACGACTTGATGAAATATAAAAATGAATCCCGTACGAGAATCCAAGCTCAAAACTAGGCATTTTGTAATAACTTTCATTAATTGCACAATGGCCCCTCCAAGAAAGGATATCTGCAAAACTGGCCTTTAAAAACTCTAATCAGAATATCTCCAAAAGATATTTATGAAAAATACCCCAAGAAACATCAATGTTTCTAAAGAATCTTTTTATCCACGCTCCTACGGAAGAAATAAACAACCGGTGAGCTTTTCTCCAAAAGTAAAGCTACGCATTTCGAGGAAATCAACTAGAATGAAAACTCGTGAAGTCAAAACTCAACTCCAGACACGGAAAGTGAGGTTGTGCCAACAAAGTGACAAACGGGAAAAGGACGAAAAGTGAATAGTGTCCAAAAAATGAAAATATGGAAATGACTCGGTCCTTAAAGGAAGTTGTCAATTCAAATAAAAGAGTTTCAGAAATCCTTTTCCGAGCATTCGAGATGACACTAAGTGATGAGTAACTGAACTCAGAAAAGAAAATTCAACGAAAAAAATTCATCCGTAAAATTTGATAAAAAGGAATGGAAGGAAAATGATAGGGTCATTACACCTAATTTGAATGATCTAACTTATGTGAAAACTAGAGTTTAAATGGAAAGTTGAACATGTGGAATTTACTTTGTTGTTGGTAATTTGCTTTGAAAAAGTAATTTGTATTTGTAATTTTAAAAAGAATGTTCCTGTTATTGCCTTTATTTGAAAAAGGGCTTTGAAAGTTTGAGTATAGTGTATTATTTTAGAAGACTTTAAAAGGGGGGTTTTAAATAAGCTGGGAATTGAGAATGAAAAGATGATTTGAAAAATCATGTAAGAAATTTGAATTATATTCCTATTCTCCCTCCTGATATTATCAAATAACAACCTCTTGATAATATGTATTTAATGATTATTTAAAAAAGAAGAGTAATGTTATTTTACCCGACTTGAAAACACCAATAAAACACCGACATACCTACATAGCTGGCCACGTGTTCAAATGATTGGCCAATTAAATCAAAATATACAAGTAAAAGCACCAAATTGCAAACAAACCGGACTGATCCGGCTGATGGAAAAACAGGGTAACCAACGATCGGTGACCCAAGGTAAGTTGACGGCAACAACCAAGAATGGCAATTTCAGAGATTCGCAGGGAGCGACACGTGCTCCTGTGAGTAGATCTCACTCGGGCCCACGCGCTTCTTCTTCGACATCGTTTTTCCGGCGGTGGCTGTCCTTGGTGGACTCGTACTTTGGTTCGTGGCCAGAGTAAGGATGGACCAGTCGCTGGCATTGACTAGTTACTAATGATTGTTTGATTTTTTGGTGAATAGTAGGTTCAGTTTATTGGGGGAAATTTTTCACAGAGGGGAAGAAGAGGCAACCAAAAAGGAATTTCTGACAAAGGGATTTCTTAGAGAGAGAAACTGAAACTAAAAAAAGAAATAAATAGAAGAAATTAGGACTTCTTAGAGAGAGAAGAAGAGGAAGAATGAAAGAAAAAAAACTGGAAAAAAAAAAAAAAAAAAAAATGATAATGACAAAAAAAAAATCAAACATACCTCATATCATCTTTGCTAATGATTTGTCTAATTTAAAGTTTGGAAAATCTCATTGAAATATTCGGCTATGGCGCTTGGTATTGAAACCACAACGTCCTTTCCTTTTCCCAAATATGACTGAGTTGGGATTCTCTCTCTTTTATTATACCTCGTCTAACTTAATTAAAAATTCATTTTTATCGAATTATTTGCCGTGTTGAGCCCTTCGTCCTCTCCAACTCCATAGGTGAAGTTGAGTATTGCCGGAGTATTCACTACCGCTGCCAAATACGCTATTCCGACGTCAGAACTGTGTTTCATTCTTGGACCGTTGTTTATTCTCAAAGAGATTGGAAGGCTTTCCAGAGGAGTGAGAGAGGCTAAGAGCGAGAGAGGAAAGTGTTGTGCGCAAATAGATTGTTGCCAGGTGGAAGTCCGTTTTTGTCGAGTATATATTTGTCGTCAAAAAAAGCATTTTCCAAAAATAAATGTTCCTTCCAAACAGGACACTTATTTTAGGAAGCAAGTATAAATTACAACTAACAACATATAAAATCTTAATTTATGAGTAGAAAAGCACAATGCAAGACTCATTTTCAATTTGCATTTATTTACACTCAGATCGAAGTTAACACTTTGCTCAAACAATAACAGGAGGTTTTGGCGCGTGTCTAACTTATGCATTCTTCTTATTCTTTCAAAAGAAGGAAGTGCATTTCCGGACGATTTTATGACATCGTCATCAATATATACTTTCATAAATCGACCAAATATATCATATGATATTAAAGCATTCATTATTCTTTGATAAGTTGTCACGGTATTTTTTTTAAGCGAAAAGCATAACTGGGCATTCAAACGTTCCAATCGAACCGAGCACTTAAATCATTTCTAAACGTCTTCTTCGACAATATAATTCTATTGTAACCAGAATGCCCCCATAAAAAGATAGAATTTGACATTCATCTTTAGGGGTGGGGCTATATTTAAGTTTCTAAAATCTATACACACCCTTATATTCCAATTTTTCTTAAGTACTAGAACAATATTTTAAAACCATTCAACATAATTATGGTTCCGATAAATCCTGGTTTAGAGAACCTCTCATTTTCTTCCTTGAAGAGAACATCTTTAAACATGTTTTGATAGCTTAACTTAAAATAAAAGAATTACGCCCCGTTTGGGATTCTCGCGTTTGCAGTATCTAAAAACACGTTAAATAATAGCGTAGATGTTTAATGAAAAACTGGATATCTAAAAAACGTTTTAAGTAAATAAAAATGTTTAGTCGACACTCAATCACTGTCATTTTGTATATCATAATTCATGACACCTATCCTCTATATATATATTGCTAGACTGATTTCATGATTTCATTTCCATTTCCTTGGTGGAGTTGTAGCCCAATTTCACATTTTCTACATAAATTTTTCAAAGACATTCAATAGCATCTCAAGATTTTTTTTATTAGGAATTCTCTATAAGTGCATCTTTAACTGTCTAAGGATACTTCCGAGCTATTGATTTAAGGGAATTTATCTCCCTAATGATAAAATTACGTTTGGATAATGCACACGTTTATAACTGTATGGGTAATATAATAAAATTGGTAGTTACCAAACAAATTTAAAAGTGCTTTAAGTGTAAAAAGTGATTTATATAATACATCCCCAAGCACCTAAAATGCTTACAGCAAGCGCTTTTTGACGATTCTACTGATAAAAGCGCTTTTAACATTACAACAGTAATGCCAAACGGGCTCTTCGTAGTAATTATCCATAATTATGCCATATTTTAATCACTTGTCAAGAAGCATCATTTCCAGGAAGATGACGATGATAATTAGAAATAACATACCACCCTTAATAACTAGATCTTATTTTCCATATGCTAAGAGCATTACAAACAGACAGTGATCAGCATGAAATCAGCCAAAAAATATATGGAAGAGTGATCAGCATGAAGCCTTATATTAGAAAATCAACCTAAACAGCAAAAGCATAACCTGGGGAAGATCAAGTATGTAGAGAAACCTTATATTATACGCTATGCACCAAAATCAGTAATACCGCGAGCTGGTATCATAAACACGCCCCCCAGGATATGGACCTCTCGACTCAATTTCTTGATCCCTGGTGCTCCCAAGAAATCGAGCCCGCTCTCTGTACGAATCATAATGATCATCACTATATGATCGTTGTAGTTCTCCGGTAGGGGTTGCAGCTAAACCGTAACCATGAGACTCACTGGGACCCATGCCACTGTTAGGGTAGTGATCCATTGCAGCCTGCTGGTATTGCTGTTGTCGTTCATGAGATTCTCTCCGAAGGAACTCATCCCGACGACTGGTGTGCCGAGCTCGAAGTGCTGCTAGCTGTTCTTGATATTGAGCGTTAATTGTGTTTATTCTCTGAAAAACAGATGTATATGTTGTACAGAGAAGATTAGATGGTCAGGGCAAACAAAGCAATATGAGAGTTAATACAAAATTCAACGATATGCCCAAAAGACTTAGACAATCAATCTAAAATACAATGGATTTCACACCCCAATTTAAATATTAGTATCGATGGACCTCAACATAATTCAACATTATCCTAATCACAATAATGATCAGATATACCTCATCATAATTATCCATAGAAATGTAGATTGATGGGAAAATAGATCAAAAACAATCAGACTCGTAACGTTCAAAATGACAAATGGGCACCAAAGGGGCCTAAATGTGCTAATGCCTTGTTTGATCATTCTGTTACATAATACTTGGCTTGTAAAGATTGATGTTAAGGTCTGAACATTATTTGCTCCATCTATACAACATATTGTAAATAGGGGCCATTACCTAGGATGGGCTCTCAAGCATGAGAACACAGATTCAAGTCTATGCAGCTACTTTGTGCGAAAAAATGCTAAAGGTTAGGTCTGTATCCAATCCACCTTCAATTATCAGGAAAACCACACTATAACCCTTTTATGCAATATCTTGTAGAACAGTACGCAAGAGTCATTGAAAAGTAAGTTTTTATGATGTAATTACTATAACATTCCGCCCTAGATATGGTTTTAAAACCACACTATAACCCTTTAATGCAATATCTTGTAGAACAGTACCGCAAGAGTCATTGAAAAGTAAGTTTTTATGATGTAATTACTATATCATTCCGCCCTAGATATGGTTTTATTAGGTTAGGTCTGTATCCAATCCACCTTCAATTATCAGGCAGACCACATTCAAATATTTAATGAAAATGGATCATATTTGAACTATAATGCTTAACATTGAACAACTTTAAGAAAATATAACAAAATCTACACAGACCAGCAAAATTACATAAGTTATGTAAACAAATTTAACACTATATCCATTATGATTTAAATTACTTATATGGGTAAATTACTGTTCATCAGCAAGAACTGATGTCATAACAAAGTGGAAGCTGCAACTATGGTACACCAAAGTACTGGGTGTTCTCAATCCATCAACATTTCGAATTCTAACAACATATGTGAAGTAGATACTAGTTTTAAAATTTTCCCATTCAAGATGATGGATATCAATCATTAAATGTCATATAAACCAAAATGATTCCATTCAATTTCCATAAGCTGTCCAGACTCCAAATGAATCCTAGGAAAAATTACTTTGTTGCCTGATTGTTCAAAAGAAGGGGGGGAGTCTAGTTGTGTAAACTCCCAGATATAAATTGAACCCTAATATCAGATGATAAAATATGTTTTGACAAACTTTTATAAATTCAACATCAGAATCCACTGACGAATACCTATAAACTGTAGCCTGTACATAGAATATGTTTAAAATTCCTGGTGCTCTAGGGAAAAAGACTGAACTATTTCAAAATTATACGCACACTTGCTCATAGCATGTTTCCTTTATTTGCAAGTTTAGGGTCAAGGAGTAAAGCAGAGGTTAAATCACAAAAGAAAATAAGTGCTCATGGACTAAAGCTTAGCTGTGTCAATAGAGTTGATAATTCCTGCTTCTGAATTTCTGATAAATTAAACAGCAAACTTCTTTCTTTTTGTTTCCTTTTTGTTTTTCTTTCTTTTCTTTTCTTTTTTCCCTTTTTTCATAAACATCAACTACAAAATTTCTCCTTTTCCGTTGAATTTCCCTCTCATCTCATGACAGGAGACCCATCAAATGGCCTCGAAAACAGAATGCCCAAGTGTTATCCCATGTTCAAATGCCACTAAGAATTTGTGTCCCAATATAATGTGAGATGCAATGAAGAATACAACCCTAAAGAATTTGTGGACACAAATGAATGTTGTGATTCAAGATGGACACAACATCTCAACCGTGATCTTTCTCCAGAACCTAAATGCAGGGACATGACCTTGCATGTATTTGCAAGTAATCTGCTATATCAAACATACATTCATGAATGTATGTATAGTAATCTATGTTTAAGCATGTGACAAGTAACAATAGATCATTGGTACAATTTTGAAATTGTAATTACACAATAATTTTTCTGCAAAAAAAGGCATTGCACCCCGTACTTCTGAGCATCTTTTAGGTAACTAAGATTTGACTCGTGTCAAAATGAGTGCCAGATAGGTGGACATTAATTTGTGTCCTCCTTGCACATTCGATATGCAAGTTTCCAAATAGGGAGAGGTATCCCACATACCGTAGTCTGTCACAAAAAACTAGAAGCAGGCATCTCATGTTAACCATCAACAGACACTTGTTCGGATACTCTTGTAGAAAGACTACTAGTTGTCATTTATAAGAATGACAAAAGGGCCCCCCTTCCTCGAGCCTGCCACTTAAAGGAAGAGTATCATGTCCCTTGCTTGGCTCAGGCAAATGGTTCACCCGTCGCCAACCCCATTTCACCTACTAACCTCTGTAATTACCATATTTCACAGATCGAAGAAACAAACATACAATAATAAAAATCATACAAAAAAGATTATATGACGAAAGTGGGAGTTTCTACAGCTGAAGATAACTATTAGAGCACTCAAATCATATATATATATATATATTTCGTTTTTCCAGTGCAGAATCTGCTGAGCCCGCCCATGTGACATCATCACACTTGTACTTGTTAACCCAAACTTTTACTAATACACTAAGCTATGATTGCTCATAAATATATGTAAACACTTCTTTTTTTTTTTTCTTTTTTTTTTTTTGTATCTTTACGTAGACACATATATGCAAATAAATATGCATGTGTAGTGTGCACACAAAATATAAACCACTGTTAATTTTGTTCTTGAAACTGTGACCCATAGAAAGAATTTTCGTGACATATTGCATGTTGTGTGGACTTTTGGTGGTGGTGTGCGACAGTGAGACATGGGGCATCATGGTGAATTGTGGTTACAACAGATTGACAATGGTACATGGCAATGTAATGCAACAGAGCTTGGGAAGCTGTGTTGTAAAGGTGGTTGCAATGGGGCCATGGTGGTTTGTGGCCTGAGGAGTGACACAGGTTTGGATGGCAAGGTGTGACGAGCATCCCAATAGGGGGTGAATTAAATCAAGAGTATGTGAGGAACCCTAACCCTATATGTAATTTACTTACCAAAGGAGATTTTTGCAAAAAAAAAAAAAAAGAAGATAAATAAGATGGGTATTGAATATATTCATTACATATGCATATAAAAATATATGCGCGATAGACACATAACAATAGAAGAGAACCACCGTTAATTTTGTTCTCAAAACTATGATATATAGAAAGATGTTTCATGACACGTTCCAAACTTTGTGGTGGTGGTGATGTGTGGCGGTGCGACGTGGGGTGTAATGGTGCAATTGTGATGACCATATTTTTTAAAACATGGTACAGAACAAATAGGTGTTTGCATATGTAATGAGTATAATTCGATTTTTTTTAACTCAAAAAACATTAAAAATTCAGCATAAAAATATGGAAACAGAAAAATATGGATACGGATATGTTCAGGTATAATACTTCTCCTATTTAAAAGTTCAGGAATAAAAATTCAGCCACACATTATTATGCCCAGATCCTCAAAAAACTTGGTGGAGGCTTGGAGAGGGTGTAAGTGGGGGCCCAAGCCCGTGCTTGTTGGAAGGTTACGCGTTTGTGCATTTGGTGGTGCTTATGGCTCGAAAGAAATAGGAGATCTTTTGAAGAAATGGAGAGTCCTATTGGTGCGTTGTAGTTCTCCATTATTAGCACTCTTTTTTTGTTGGGTTCTAGGGAGAAATTGTAAATCCATGATGGAGATAGTAGATTTTTTGGATTCTTCGAGAATTTAGAGGCCCTATTTGGCCTTGTGATTTCTAAGGGATGTGTTCCCCTTTTGAACGCCTTTGTTAGTACAATCTTAGTTATCAAAAAGAAAAAAGAAAAAACAGCCACACATGCATTTTTTTTATTAGCACTCTTTTTTTGCTGGGTTCTAGGGAGAAATTGTAAATCCATGATGGAGATAGTAGATTTTTTGGACTCTTTGAGAGTTTAGGGACCCTATTTGGCCTTGTGATTTCTAAGGGATGCTTTCCCCTTTTGAACGCCTTTGTTAGTAAAATCTTAGTTATCAAAAAGAAAAAAGAAAAAACAGCCACACGTGTATTTTTTTTATTTTCCTAGTAGAGAGGACATTTTTCCATGTAGACATGGTGAAATTTAGTCTCTGTTCCCACTAACAATGCCTTTTCCTATGCCATTAGTTTCATTTCAATACTTTAAAAAAGGTTGGAAATTTGGTCTAGTAGAGAGGACATTTTCGCATGCAGACATTGCAAAATTTAGAGTAAGTTCCCACTAAAAATGCATTTTGTTTACTCTGATGAGGTTGCTCTGTCTAGCCCCTCCAAGCCTCCAAATAAGGGATCGAATCTACAGAAACACTAGCGATTGTTGTTAAATATATTAAATCTGTACATATATACAATATATAAAACATTGGCCTCCTAGTCTCCCACTAAGTAGTTCACATTAGAAAGAGACGTTTTATAGAAAAGTCATTAGTTTCCCAACTTTGAGTTTGACTCCTAGTTCTTGTGTCTTTTTATGTATCTTGAATAATTTTAATTAATATTGCCAGGAACTCCTTTTCTTAGTAAGATCCACCAAATTATCTCTTGATACCCTATCATATCTCTTATCTAAATCCACAAATATCATGTCTAAATTTTCTCTTCCATATATCATCTTATTAAGTAAACAGCCTCCGGAGTGGATCCTCCTGGCATGAATCCAAATTGGATATCAGCCATCGTTAATTTGATTTCTCTATAGTTGCCACAATTTTGTATATTCTATGGTTGCAAAATTAATTTCTAAAGTAATTTTCGGCCCTTCAATTGTCAATAAAGAAGAGCAATCTCTAGACATGTCTTTGCCAATATAATCATATATACATATGATGATATCTGTAAACTAATTCGCTTGTATCTTCAAGACGCTGCAAGTGATCACCTGTGTTTGGACATAGATCTTCAGCCACATGCTGGAGGTGTTCCATCTTCTCACTACAAGCCAGAGATCTTTTTAATGTGCCTTCAGAATTAAACATAACTTTGAAGAAGAGAATCACTAGCCCGAATATCAACTCCAGTTTCTCTTGTTACCAAATTTAATGTCGAATGAGCAGGAAGATGCTAAGACCCAAGGCCAAGACTTGTTAACTCTAAAGTAAAACAAAAATTTTGATCTGTTCAACAAGAATGCTCAAAATTCACAATCTACAGAGCTCCAAATTTTGTCCTAAGCAATCTTACTTTACTGGTCCCTATGCAATTCATGTAGACTCAGTGTTATTAAAGGCCCAAGGCACTAGAGGTCCTTTGAAGCCTAGGCGTACGGCGAGGCGCACACCTGAGTGAAGTGAGGCGCACAATTGAAAATTTGAACTACCATAATAACATTCATATCTCATAAGTCATATCAATATTCTAAAAATTAATATCAAATATAAAAAAGTAAATCAATCAACTATACAAGCATCCAACAACCATCAAACATAGCACAAATTTGTTTTCTTGAAAGGCAAAGCAAAATGTGTTTTTTTGAATGGCAAAACAAAGCACAAAAAGAAATAAATATGTTAACAAAGATATATATATTTGTTAACAAGAAAATAAAATAAAATAAAATAACAGAGCCAAAATATATAAATATATATATATGACAGAGAGGTGAATTAAACGAAGAGAGAGATGTAAACAAAGATGAGAAGAGAGGGGAGATCTAGAGGAGAAGAGAGAAAAAAAAAAAAAAAAACAAAGAAAAGAAAGAAAGAACTGGCGAGGCTTCGTCGTTCATCTCTACAACTAGGGCTTCGTCTTCGTCTCACAATCTCATTCTAACGCTGTTCGGTTAACACTTTGATTCTTGGGCTTTCTTATTTTTTTATTCTTTTGTACAAGTTCCTTCTATTGTATGCTTGGGCTTTCTTTTTTGTTTACTAAGTTGCCAAAAGTACCCTTTTTGGCTTAAGAAATAGAACAATAGTATTTTTTTAAAACAAATATCAGTGAGGCACGCCCACAAACAGGATGAGGCGCAACCAAGGCGCGCGCCTAGTAAACATAAGTGAGCCTGGGATGACAATAGGCCCTAAACCTGAGCCTGGAGCCTAGGCGCAACCCTGGGCACGCCTTTAAAAACACTGTGTCAACTTGCGTTACTTTACTCTTCAACAACTTAATCACTTTAACAATAATTACAGCATTTATTTGAGACAGCAATCCAATTTTAGAATTTGTAAAATTTGTATCCTCTACCATCCTTATTATCTAAAACAAAGAAAGGAAATAAACTAATGACTCCTAAAACTAAAACAAATTAGAGAAAACCCTTTCTAAGCTTAAACACAAAAAGGCCCCTTAATATAATTTTTTTAACTCAAAAGCCACTTCTTGCCTTTGGTTGCACTAATATAACCAGAAAAGCTTGGTAAGTTCATTCTTTACTTTAGCCTAAAGACTGAAACTGAGAAGACATAAATGTGTTCCAATGTGTGCATAAAAATAAGAACAAATAGTAATATTATTCCCATGCTATATTAATATAATAAACCAAACCAATGTCGATCAACTCAATGAATTCTGATCAACTCAATAAACCTCCAACCACATTCCAATTTAAATAACAGCGTATCTGTGAAGGATTGTAAATTGTTTATTCGTCCTGTCTACAAAGTATTTTTCAAATGCACTAGTTCCAACTTCATCTGTAATTATAACACATTCCTAGTTGCCTTAAGACTTCTAGTGGCTTTGACACCTTGGATTTTGGTACACTAAGGCACATTGAAATTCCTTTTCTTTCATGCAGAATCAGCACTTCATCTGCCAAACAGTAATTTTCTTCAACATAAAAGTTACTGAGTAACTAAAAGCTCACTTACCTTTCTGTTTATAAACAAAAGTAGCAATTCAAAAGAAGAAATACTTTCAATCATAACATATTTCATTAAAATACTGATTTTAAAAACTCTGTTTACCGATATATTGTTGTGCTCGTTAAATGGAATGCACGGAACTTCTGGCACTCGGGCATCTGCCAGGTCAACTTATGATATCCTGAGCAGTTATGCCAACTAATTATTTGGCGAAATTTGTTGAATTTGAACACCACTTCAAGAAATAAAATAATAAAATTTTGATTGCAGATTTTCAATGTTTATCAAGGACATGACAAAGATTTTTATCCAAAAATAATGTCACCAGAAATCTGGATTTACTAACCAACCACAAAGTTAAAAATAAAAAAATAAAAAATAGTAATTGAGAAGCCGAGTTTCAATATAAACGTACCTCCCTATGCCTAGCATTTTCTGCATCCTCTGCATCAGTTTGATCCTTTGTCAGTTTCATAATATCATCCAGGAATTTCTGCTCAAGACCGTCAAAAGTCTGCAAGAGGACATTATCGTCATAACCAACATCCATATCTTCTTCATGAGGCTGAGATCTGCGATCATTGTTGCCTTGTTTCTCTGAACCCATTTTTGGATCTGGCCTTTGGCCCTGGTAATAGGATCTAGATGCATCACCCCCTTGACCTATAACACAAGCACCATATCTAAGTATACACAGTCCAAAGCTTTAATTTAACACAGAGAACAATCAGAAGTCACAAATCATTGGAAAAATCATTTTACTTTCTCATGAAGCAAACAAAGTAGTATAAACTCACAACCATGACACATTGTTAGCAAGTCAGACAAAATATTAGAAAGCAATTAGCTTCGAAAAAACGCTAAAATTAGAAATTCCAAACTAAAAGTTGTGGAAACTACGTCGTATTGAAAAGTGAGGTTTTCCGTGACTGTTAAAAATGAAGAGGAAAAAGAAGATTGGATCTTTTATCAAATATTGAACAATTCTACAATTTTTTCAGTAGGTAAGAAATTTTTGATTAAAAAAAAAAAAAGGATATACACAACAGGCATCCAAAGAAGCCCATGAAATTAAACTTGTGGACCAAAAGCATCCCAGAACACAACTCACAACCCAAGTGTATAGGCATTAGAGGTTCTTGTCCCAAATCGGATCTGGATGGGGAAGGTCATGGGCTTATATGGGTGGGTATGCAGCACTACCCAACAGCTTAAGCTTTTGGGTTAGAGGCCAAGAGCCCGATCAGTTACAATAGGCCACAAACAAGCAAAGTTACAAGAAAACAGATACTCTATCAATTAGCGACTACATCTACCCATAATGACTTGGAGGGATCCTCATATTGTCATGAAAAATTGATGCATAGAGAGAATTACAAGCCGAGGAGTATGCAACATAAGCTAGCATTAACTTGGATCTGCTTGATATTACTCAAGGTAAGTCGATATAACCTTGTGCATCTTTGCCATTAACTAGGCAAGGGTTCCAAACATGTTACCACTTCTATTTGGAGTTCCTTTATCCAAATTGGTCTTTCCTTTCTCTTTAGTTTTTTTCCAATTTACTAGAAATAAAATTGTTTCGTTCCAATCCCCATTGTTCTCAATGGAAGGAGCATAGAGATTGGTCTTCTTGATTCTCTTCTTCTTAGCAACCTCCTCCCACTCATCATTACTCTTCTCTGGGTCTTCCTTTGGTTGTACAACCTCTCTCATTCTTCTGTGAACTTCTTACAAATCAAGGTCAAAGACCAAAGGGTTAATTTCCATATAAACTCCATCATGGTCCACACTAAAAGATGTTCGAAGATGGTCATCAATGGATATCTCAATGCAAACATGAGCATAGGGTATACGTCTTCTAGTAGCTGTTGTCTTATCTGATCTAATAAATTTTAAGATGTAGGTGTGGGGTTCAACATATTATTGAGTAGGATGGAGGCATCACCGCCAAAAGGATAACTTGAGAAAGGTGTTTATTTCGGAAGATTGGAATCTAATAAATGGGCAAAAGAGAAAACAAGCAACAGAGTAGCACAATATGTGTTGATGTCAGTGTTCAAAGATCACTTTTGGAACAACATTGTCTTTAACCTAAAGGTTTTAGGTCCTCTTGTCAGTGTTCAAAGATTAGTTGATGGTGAGAGAAAGCCTCCCATGGGATACATTTATTAGGCTATTGATAGGGGCAAAGAAGCCATTACAAATGCCGAGGGCCTCTTTGGTAATCCCATGGATATTATTAGATAGAGATCTACACAGGCTCCATGTAAACTATATTAAGTTAGTAAATCAATTTCTAATTTATTATTTATTTCTATAATAAATTCAATAAATGCATAGTAACAAGTTATAATCAATAGCTAGTTTGTGGAAGGCATGTGATTCTTCAACACCAAGTTTGCAAAAGTTTTTATAAAGGTTCTGCACTTGTGAACAAAATTAGAGCGTGTTTGAATCAATTTATAATTTATTATTTATTTCTATAATAAATTCAATAAATGCAAAGCAACAAGTTATAATCAATAGCTAGTTTGTGGAAGGCATATGATTCTTCAACACCAAGTTTGCAAAAGTTCTTTTATAAAGGTTCTGCACTAGTGAACAAAATTAGAGCGTGTTTGAATATGCAAGTAATTACTGACTAGATTGGTAATTAAGTTTTCAATACCTTTAGGGCCAGCTTGGTTTGTAACTCTGGAAACAATTTTCTGTTTTCAGATAACTGAAAACAGAAAATTGTACAAAAACTCTGTTTGGTTCAGTTTTCTTAAAACTGTTTTCTGAAAACTCAGTTATAAAAATGTCTGTTTTCATAGAACTATAAAAGATTGTTCTCTAAAAACAGTTTTCTATTCTCTGAGTTCTTCGAAATTATTTTCAGAGTTACAAACCAAGCAAGCCCATTTTTCATATATACTAGTTAAAGTTGTATTATTGTAGCTTCATAGCAAAAAAAAGAAATAGGCTTGCTCAAAGTAATTAAATACAATAGAGCATTGAAGCGCCAGTATGACATGCATGACACTACTGATCCTATTATACTCGATGACAGTGATGAGAGCGACTAGTGGTTGATTGTAAGAATAGATGGCGATTCAGATGCAGAAGATAACCCAGTCTCTAATGATCATTCTTGACATGGAGTGCTATAGCTAGTAGTGTTCCTGGTATTGGAGAGGGCAGTACCATAGCAGTCACCCATCTAGATCAAAATCTAATTCGCGGGGAACAGCTCAGGCAGTAGGAAGCTCCTCCTCTTCAGTTCAGCTTATAGAGGAGGAAGAGGTAGAGGTGAATTCAGAAGAGACAGAAGAGGAGGATGTTGAGAGTTATAAATCCTTTGTGATGATGCGTTTGATGATGAGGATGATGTTTAGGTCCTTTACTGTTGGTTTCTTATGAGGAAGTGAAAACATTTCTATGTCATCTTAATTTTCATTTTATGATTTTTGAGTTTTAATGTTGTCTTCTTATTACTTTGAATCTCTATGTTGACTGTTGAGTATTGATAATTCTAATGTTATGTTAATTAACTACTGCTCAGTTTGTTCAGTACTCCAGTTTGCCAATTACCATTGTTGGTTATGCTTACTGTTGGTTTGCAATGTTATATTATTTTTTAAATGTTTTTGCAACTTGCACCTCGCTTCAATCAAGGCCCGCGCCTCACTTTTTGCCTTACGCCTCAGGCCCCAAGAGACCTTAGCACCTTAATGTGCCTTCAGCCTTTAATTACTATTATCTCAGTATCTCATCAACTGAACAGGTGAAACTCAATGTCCAATCAAACAACTTACCCCATCATTACCACATTCTATGAACACTACATGCCTAATTTAGTTATAATACTGCTTTAGGACAAAAACTCTTGTCAAATTAAAAATTGATAGTTCCATGAAAGAAGAAATGAATGGAAATTTACTTAAGACATTAAACAAATAAATGAACACAAATATGACTTTGCATGGGAACACAATTCCAAACATTATAATGATAAACGAATCAATCAACGAGTGAAATACGTCAACAATTTGTGTGAAGGTACTAAATTTGGTCTTTACATCAGTTAAGCCCATGAAGGAATTATACAAGCAACCATAACCTACATGTAGATGCCCATAGACGATTGATTGGTGTGTATTTTTCATCTAATTAAAAGTAAACTATAAATTCCTGTACCTTAAAGACAGAAAACTATATGCAACGAATTAAAAATGTAAAAAATATGTTTGCATAACATCTAACAAGGCCGCTGAGAAAATTGTGCAGAACCTCACAAAAAGTATCTACGAAATACAAAGCAAACCATATTTAGAGATTCAATTATACAGTTTCAAATAGTCGTGCGGTGACCAAATAGAAGAGCATAAGACAACTGTGACGTATCATACACAAGTACAGTTCCAAATGTTTAGCGTGTCAACTCTAATTTAATTTTCACCTTGGTTTCCCAAGGACCCTTCACAAATAACTTAATGAATAGATTGAATTTGTGTATGTGCCTGTGTCAGAGAGAAATGGAAAAACACACAGAACATGTACATCACAAGAGCAACTAATCCGTCCAATCCCTAGTAAAGGACAGATTAAGTTGAAAAGAAAACGGAATGGAAGGAGAAGATGAAAAATAAAAGAGCAATGCTTGCCTTCATTGAACATATGGGATGACATTGGATTTGGTATCTTCGATCCATCTCTTTCCCACCTCAATTGTCCCTCTGCTTTGGAAATTCCATAAGGATGCTCCTTCTCAGAGGTCAAGGGTTCTGGCCGTCCTTGGTAATAACCACCAGACCTGTGTTCCATCCTTTGACCAGAAGACACATGCTGCATCCGAGCAGCAACATATGCATTGCCACCCGAATCACCATAATGTCCTTGCCGCCTCATCTCCACTACCTAACCCAACAACCTGAACAGCACACCTGACAAACATAACAGCCCACTACCATAAATTGGGTCACTTAACAACATAAACAGGATAAAGAAAACCATTAAAAATAATGCTTAAAAAGGATTAACAAGAATTGAAACAATAATCCCATTAAACAATTGCCAAAACGACTGCAAATGTTTCAAAAAAGGTAGGCATACTTCTCAAAATACATCAATTGGTACACGCAAGAAATAGGCCAGTTCAAGTTTTCTTCTGTCAATACAAACAGAATTTAGTATCAACAAACCACTGCTTGAACCAACTATGCCACTATAATAAAACAAAGCCCAAAACAATAAAACCCTAAAATCACAAACCCAAACCCTAATTATCATCAAATTCCACAGTTCTCGTTATACCTTTCCGAAACGATTTGTGATACAGTGTAAATAATTAAACTACCAAGCATATAGGATTAAAACCTAAACAATATACAGAAATCCTTTATCGCGTAAGAACAAACTAGGAAAAAATTGGTTATAAAATTATAGGAAAAAATTAGTCAGAATAAAATAAATTCAATTTTGAAAAAATAACAATAATCAACAGTTAAGTGGTATGTATATACCTATTTTTGATTTTCTTTTTATTATCTTTATCTTCTCGTTTGACAGATGATGAGGCAGAATGTCGAATGTTTGGTTTCGGCCGTTGTTGGGTTTGTATTCGACTCGGTAATACATACGGGTCAGTTTTCTTCTACCCAGGACCCAATGATGTCTCCTTGTTTGTTTTTACCTCTTGTTTTTTAAAGGCTCCGTACCCATCCAAAGGGCTTAGAATCAAATCTTTTAGTTCCGTTTGATTAGATAAAAATAAGTAAGAAAAGAAAATAAATAAAAATAGAAAAGAAAATAAAATAAAATAAAAGTGAAGGGAAGTGAATGAAAAAAAATATATATTTTTTAGTACGCATTTGGTTAGAATAAAAATTTATTCAAGAAAATTATAGAAAAATATTAATTTGTTATTTTGAATAGCACGAAAGTAAAAAGAAAACGATTTAAGATACCACATTAACCCTTATAATTTTAAATACTAATACATAAATGAATTTGTATTTATTGATGTCTATTTTTAGCAAAGAAATAATAAAATAATGAATTATTAAATTTAATAATATAATTATTTATATTTAAAATAAGACTTCATAATATTTTTTGAGACAAAAGTAAAACTAATGAGAAATGAAACTTTAAAAAAACACGGACATGTATTGATGAAAATACTAATTTTTTTTAGAGAGATTTGATTGTATTTTGTTGTTGCCTATTATATATTAACTTGTAGAAAAACAAAGAAAGGTAAAAAAAAAATTAAAAAAAAAATTGTTTTGCGGATAACTTGCCTCTTAGAAATCTAGTACAAAAATAAATAAAGAAATTGTTTTTCAAGATTAAATTAAAAATTTTTGAAAGAAAATAGACAAGTATGAAAACAAAATTTTCTATTAGTTTTCTCTTTCTATCTATCCAAACTCTAAAAAAAATTAAAAAATTAAATTCTAAAAAAATTTAAAAATTTATACTCTAAAAAAATTTAAAAATTTTCTCTTTTCTTTCTTTTTTAACTGTTTCCACCTAGCCAAACAAAACTTTTGAGATTTAATTCGAAAGAGTAATTGGAATTGAAATAAAATTCTATTTGTGTGTGTCACTAAAAATTTCATAAGTTACCTTTCCATCAACAATAAAGTATAATTTGGATCTATCATCAATCTAGCTGATCATAAAATATAGGTCAGTCAAACTAAATTTCCTAATAAGCCCAAACCAACTTGATGTGGGTAGAAAGATAATAATGATAATTATCTTAAGTTATATCTATATCTTAATATAAGATCATTATTATAAATAATATGCATCATTAGAGATAATTATCAAAGAATTAAATAATTATTAAATGTTATGCATATTACAAATTATAATTATCTTAAATGGTAAAAATTGGTTATAAAAATATAGGAAAAAATTAGTCAGAATAAAATAAATTCAATTTTGAAAAAATAACAATAATTAACAGTTAAGTGGTATTGTATATATATACCTAATTTTGATTTTTGCTTATTATCTTTATCTTCTCCTTTGACAGATGATGAGGCAGAATGTCGAAGGTTTGGTTTCTACTTGGTAATGGATACGGGTCAGTTGTTTTTTTTTTTTTTTGGGAAAGTTAAAAATTTAAGTTATTGTTAATACGGGTCAGTAATGTCAGTTCTCTTCTACCCAGGACCAATATGTCTGTTTTTTTTTCTTTTTTTTAAGGCCAGTACCCCACCCAATGCGTTTAGTACCAAATCCTTTTGGGATTTAATTCGAATCTTAGTTGGTACTCATATACACTTGTCTCTTCTGAAATTTGAACCCCTGAATTCCTTTGAAAAGTAAGAGGCTGATACCGCTAGGCCACTGAATCTATCATCAATCTAGGTAGAAAGATAAGAATGATAATTATCTTAAATAATATATATATATATATATATATATATATTAATATAAGATCATTATTATAAATAATATACATCATTAGAGATAATTATCAAAGAATTAAATAATTATTAAATGTTATGCAAATTACAATTTTACCCCTCCATTGAGCGTATAAGAGAAGCCCGAGAGAAAAGGGGAGAACTGCAAGACTCGAATATAAGATTGAACCTCTAACAGAATCTTTACTCCCTAAACATTGGAGCTTTAAAAACAAATAACAACAGCACATCAAGGTAGTGTTGTGCACATCAAGGTAGTGTCATTCTTTCCTTGCAATTCAATGAGTTGAAAAATCGCCAACAAGAATGCTTAAAATCAAACTTATTAAGCCTTTCATTAGAAACTCCTTCCGGTTTTTTTCAACAAGAAATTTTGGTGAAGACTCTCAACAACTCAATTCAAGATCAATGCCTAGTAACCCTTGAATCCAACCCGCAGAGAAGATTGAATCAAAGGATTTTTAAAAAAAAAAAAAAAAAATTACTTGGAGAAATATATTCATTAATTTTAAAAAATTAATAAAGCTGGCTATTTGTCCATTTTTTAGACTTTTCAATTTCTAGCACACTTAGTGGGACATCCTATACCTCCCCTCTTTGTCTCCAACATTAATTTCTCAAGGTATTTCTGTAATGACCTAAATCCGGGGGTCCGAATCATTATTCGGGTCCTTAACAGAATCCGAGGTCATCTAAGGGCATTATAGTCATTTCTATTGTTCAAATATATTTAGTGCATCATACTAAGCCTTATAGTGTACCATAACATTGTTGGATGGGTCAAGAATGGATAAAAATGGAAGAGAACAACAAATGAGGCAGCTTCAGGAATCGATCGACGTGTGTAGTGATAAGCGCCGAATATTATATATTCCAGCGCCCTAAATTGCATTAGTAAAGTCCGTTGTATGTTAATTTATGTAGATTATCTTCATTTCTATGTTTTTATGCATTTTCAGGTTCATTGGCCAAAATGGAACAAGAATAAGGCCTTGTGGAATCTTGAGCAACAAAAGGTGCCAATGCTGAATTCTGGCAGCAGTAGAACCTGGAATTTGCTTGCCATTTTGACCTTCCAAACTCGAGAACTGGACTTCCCTCATAACATGAAAGATTTAGAGCTCTGAATTAGCTTTCTAAATCTTCAAACGGTTTGTCATTCGGAGCTCGGAGCAGAGAGTTATGGCCTTGTTACCAGAGGTGCGCAGAACTGCCTGGCAGCAATGAAATTCTGCCTTGATCTTCATTTTCGACCAATCATCCTTGAGAATTGGATCTCCACTAAAACATGAAATATTTAGAGCTCTGAATTAGCTTTCTAAATCTTCAAACGGTTCATCATTCGGAGTTCGGAGCGCAAAGTTATGGCTGTTTAACCAAAGTAGGTCTGGGCGGAGCAAGTGAAGCATGGGCATTTTTACACTAAATTCGAGTGCTCGAGGCCTTGCTTAGAGTGCTCGAATTTTGGGCAGAATGCCCTTCGGAAATGGCTCATTTCAGCCCACTTGCACCTTGGTTTCTTCATTTTGCTTTCCTCTTTAATGAAGTGGTTGGAGATGTTGGTTGGTGGCATTTTGGGTGGTAGATAAGAGGGATAAGAGCCACACAATGAAGAGAGCTTCATTCTACAAGATTAGAGGAGAGAGAAGAGAGCAAAGGAAGGAGAGTTCTTGGAGCAAGAAAGGGGAGCTTGAAAATGGAAGGAGGATCCATGGTTCTTCTTCATTCTAAGGCTCCCATGTGTAACTAACTCCTCCTCTAGGGAGGTAATGGAACCCCTCATTGTAAGCATGCTTTACTTTTGATTCTAGTTTGGGAAAAATAATGTATTTTTGTGGTGATTCCATAATCTAGAACTCTTACTTGATGTAATGAATTGATTTTGATTTAATGATCATGTTGGACCTACTTTCTTGTCTTAGAATGTATGTTTTCATGGTTGTATGGTTTACATTTTCATGGTGACAATGAAGATGAGATTTTTGGAATGGTTTTAATGGCATGTTGTTGAGAGATTTGATAGGCCATAGCTTAGGTTCTTCCCTTGATGGCTTATTCTTAATTCTTAGCTTCATGTGCTCTTATCATGTGATTGATGGTTTGACAATTTCTAGCTTAGTGAACATGTCTTAAATTACACTTTAGTTTAGGTAATTGAGCATGTAAAATCTTTGATAAATTGTTCTTGCCTATTGATTCCATGAATCCTTTGAAGGTAATGTAGTAACCATGAGTAACTACTTATCATAGCCACATATTTATGTTGTTTTTCCCCGAATGAATCATATTCTAGCATGTTTATATTGTAGGTGGTGAAGTTACTTCCCTAGTCTCTTTTACCGACATTTTATCTCTTTTAAATTCTTGCAAGTTCTATTTTATGCATTCTAAGTTCTAAGTTTAAGTGACAAACAACCAAAACCCTCTATAAACCCCTTATCATTCTAAGAACAATTCTAGACACTTAGGTTGCCATAGACTAGCGCAGTCCCAGTGGTTCGACTTACCCGACCAATAGCCCTATTTTACAATGATTCGTGCTATTGCGAAGGTTGATGTTTAGTTGATCAACCGATCAATTTTTGGCGCCGTTGCCGGAGACTTGCATACGGTTTAGCAACCAAAGTCTAGGGTTAATTTTAGTTTGATTGTTAATATTGTGTCTTGTGAATATTCCTTGTGTGTTTTGACCATCTTTGTGTTTTAAGTGTTGTAAGATTCTAGGGACTCGAAGCTCGTCGTGGGAATGCTAGCAAATTGTAAGTCTAGAGGACCCCAGGTAAGTCTCGTGACTTCTAGTTTCGAGTTGTGAATATTGTGCATGTGTTAAATTTAGTTTTAGTTTAGTTGTGAAGCCCTTGTTGAGGCTCTTATCCTGTTTAAATTTTGTGTTCAAGCATCGGTCCTTGTCGTGGCCATTTATTTCCTATCTTGTTGATAATTGAGGAGAAAGGGATCATTGTATGTGGAGTTGATGATAAAGAATTGTTGTGTTGATTGCATTGTGTGTTGTTGAATTACTCCTAGATGGA